ATTTTATTGACATCAGAGTTATTTATTTCTCTTTACTTTGTAACCCTAGGGTAAAAGCTATAACCTCGGCCCAGTTTTTCCCAAATTATAGAACTCTGAGGTTTCTAGCTGAATCACGTGTGGCCCTTCCTGAGACTAGAGGCAATCTCCTAAATTTTCAGAAATGGAACGTCACCCTTGCCCCTGGCTGGGTATTGTACTTTTAATTGACACTTTAGAATTCTGAGATCATAGGCTCTGGCCTTGGAGTTTAATTTTGAATTTATCACTATTCAACTTCTTCCCCAAAAAAATCCTAGCTGAAAGAAGTGATACATTTTTTTTAAAAAAGCGTAGGTCCCAAAAAGTGAAATGTATCTTAGATAGACGGGTTTTAGCCTTGTTTTCTTGCCACTTCACAGTGTGATGTTGGGCGAGATGTTCGCCTCTCTGTGAGATAGTTCCCTCATCTGTAGAATGGGATGATAAGAGGTATCTAGCTCTTACAGGAACTAGGAGGATTAAATGAGTTCCTGTATGCAAATGCTAAGAACAGTGTCTGGCACATGATCAGTACCTGAGTATTTGCAGTCATCATCAAGCCATGGAGGAGTCTATGTGAATACATTAGATATCAACAAAAGTTCCTTCACAAATTGTTATAATACTGTGCCCTGCACTTACTGAAGGTGAAAAACGTTACTCTAAGTTTTAAAATCCTTATCCAAAATAATATCCATTGTGTTATTTAATATTCATTTTTATTTCTGTTATTTCTTATATAAGGACTACATGACAAACTTCAGTTTTGAATTTAGTACCAGAAAAAATGTTTTTTCTCTTGAAGAACAGATACATGTTTCTAGAAGATATTGAAAATTATATGCCACCTTTTGTTTTGGGGAAGAATTTGCCAACAGACTTCAAGGTTTCGACCTTTGGAAGAAACTTAAATTTAAGCGCCTCTTGCAAAGATACATGTGCTTTTATGATAACCAAATGGAAACAGAGTTACATTTTGCTCACAGAAATTAAGGGGTCCTATTCAGAGAGCATGCCTCAGAGATGGTTACAGGAGCCTAGAGGGGAGGTGGGCCGGCTGACCACTGTGGGCAGGGCCAAGCTTTTCCTCCAAAAATTGTCCCCTTCACACAAATCACAGAGTAACTGTGAAGCCCCAGCTTTTGGTGCTGCAGGTCCTGGAGTGAGTGGGTGTTTGACGGAGCAGGGCTGCATGCTGAAGATTCCCCACACTCTACCTAGTGCTGGCATGAAAATGGAGAAAAGGCTCTGCTGTGAGCCAGCATCCATTGTTTTATTTTTCACAGCCTAGCAGTTACTCAAGACTGATTCTCATTGAATTTGATTCTCACATTGTCTTTCTCTCTCCCAAACATGACATTTATTTCAGCATGAATAAATGCAGTTTGAGGCTGCCTATTTAAGGATCACTCTAACAAAAACAAGGAACCTATTTTCATATGTATAGTATGTGTTAATGACCAACAAGGCAGGATTGAAGGACAATAATGATCAATTTTAAGGATATTTTCACTTTATCATAACTATTGCTTTGTAACTGAAAATAACATACAGAGGGGGAGCCAAAGAGGGAACACCCAAGTACATGGAATATGCATTTTGAAGAACTTCTTTTCAGGGGAAGAAAACATGTCAGGATGTATGCAGTGGGATCCTTTTGTAAGTCCATGTTTTCCTTTGTCTCGTATTTTCTATATTTAATGTGATTAGACCACCATTAGGTCTGTACCAAGAGCATTTGTCAACAGTTGAAGTCATTTTCTCTTTGGCCACAGCTGCAGTTGGAAGTTATTCATGATGACCCCATACTCAAAGGGCAGCAATAAAGTGACCTTCACCATCCAAGAATCTATTCAGACAACTAATATACATGTTAAGTGGAAACCAGGACAGATGGCAATATCAGCCCCAGAGTTCTTTGTGATTATTGGAGACTGGTATTCAGTTCTGGTCTAGATGGTGCATTAGCTCCCCAAAATAATATCTTCACTGCAGCGATCAATGTTCTAGGAGACCAAAGAGCTCCATACATGGTTTTATGTTAGGATAGCAACAAATATTTAATACCTCACAATATTTGGAGACATCTGCATGGGACAAATACAGAGAATTTATTCAATTGGTAGGGCCTTATTTATATGAGGAGGTTGAAAAAAAATTACACATGGTGATGATTCCTTCACTTAGTCGGCAGATATTTATAAGAAACTTTCTAAGTACCAAGCACTATACTCTCTGATGAGTATGCCATGGTGACCATAATAGTTATGGTGTATTAACTACCTTCCAAACCCCAATGAAACAACTGAAAAAGAATTATTTTAAAGGCACCCATGTATAAGGACAAAAGCATGGGATATGAGACAAAAACAACAAATCATTTAAGCTGAAAGTAGATGTAGACATAGAAACTGATTTAGCAAGACCAAAAATGCTGAATCCTAAAACCAGCAGTGGGCAAAGGCTAGAAGCTATGCAGTTTCCACCAAAGCACTCCCAAAGGCTCAGGAAATGGCCTCTGTGGATATCTCTGGAATTGGGAAGTGAACATGAGCTTAATCACAGGAAGATGGACTAAAAGCAACACTGGATATCCCTCCATTCATCAATTCATCCATACAGTTGGAACCCTGAAGTTAGAACATACAGTTGGAGCCCTGAAGTTTTTTCCATGATTAAGTCAAAACAGAGAGTCCATGAACTTGGGAACCTCAGGGGGAAGAGACAACAGCAATACCACACTAAAAATAATGGATTTAAGTGAGAGTTCACATAGATCTCAGAGCCTCGGTCACTGGACTCACAGAACCCTGGCAATCAGATTTCTCCAGGAAAGCTATCTGAAGAGTCTTTGGGGAATTTGGTCATTCCAGAAATAAAAGAACAAAGGAAACAAAGATCAGAGATTCCTTAAGGAAATAGACTAGCCGGGTCACCCTAGAGTAATGAGTGTAATTGACCAGTTCCTGTAGGCTCACAAGCTCTTCACTCATAATTGTGAGTAGACAACAATGGATCAACACATGTTTTATGGAAGGCATCTAATTTGACATACAGACCAAAAACAGACAGAAATACCTTGCAGGAAACAGAGACTATATGAAGAGATAAGAAAAGATTTTGCCTCATTTTAATGAGAAGAGTGTGCTTTATAGAACAGCCACTTTCAGAGAAAACCAAAAAAACATGCCTGGAAGTTAAAATTATAATAACAGACATGAAAAACTAAAATAAAGGATTGGAAGATAACACTGAGGCATTTTCCCAGCAAATATAGCAAAAAGATGAAAGAGATGGACAATATGAGAGAAGATTTTTTAAAATTAGTCTAAGGATTCTACTTCTGAATAATAAGAATTCCTCATGTGAGAAAAAAAATTAAATGAAGGGGAAAAATCATCAAAGGAAAATTCTCAGAATTAACATGAGTTTCCCCACTGAGAGGGCCATGGAGTGCCCAGCACCGTGAATAAAAATAAACCACATTCATTGGGATGTTTTATAACACTGGGGACAAAGAAAAATCCTAAGAAATTCCAAAGCAAAAATACAGATTTCATAGATTGGATAAAGTATCCAAATAGTATCAAACCTCTCATCAGCAATACTGGGTAGCTAGAAGACACTAAGTGCCTTCAAATATTAGAAGAATCATTTCTAATCTAGGATCTATAGCAAATGGCCCTATTGATTATTTGTGAGGATAGGCACACCTCACAATATCATACTTTTAAATATACAAGATTCAAGAAACTCTACCTTACGTGTACCTTTTCGTAAAAAGCCTTTGCAGGATGTACTTCACCAAAGAAGAGAGAAACAAACAAAGTAGGATACAAAGTATTTACAGAATCAGGAAACACAAGTAATAATCCAAAACAGAACTTTGGAAATTCCAGGATACATCTGTGCAGCAACTTGTTAAGAATGAAACCAGGCAGAAGTCTCCAGAAGATTTCTCCAAAAGAGGAAAATTGACAGAACACCTAATATACTTAAACATATGGAGAGATTTGCACAATTAGAAAAGAGTTAGGATTGAAAGAGTCATAAACTATTGAAAACGAAACAAGAGAATTACTAACTCTGTCAGAGTCAGGACTTGTGTAAAGGGGGGCATGAAAATAGTATACTCCATGACTCAACTGAGAATCCATAATAATACATAATAATAATTCATGGTAAAACTCATAATAATCACAGTTGGTCTGTGTTGGGAGAATGGGCTCACAGTGTTTGTGTGGTAAGAGTTCATGTGGTCAGTGTAGTGGAGGAGTGTGAAGGAGAACCAAAGCCTTCTGTTCCAAGAGGGAATGCATTATTCAATGTTTAAAACTAAAAATTCAAGAGAAAGTAATATAAGCATGATATTTACAAAACTAGCCAAAAAAATGCCAAAATATTCAGCTGGAAGAATTGAAAATAGTTGTTTTAGAGGAGGTGAAAATGGCATTGGAGTGGGCAGAGAGTGGCTGTCTTCCCTAACAAGCCCCATACAGCTGTCTCTTTAAGATATGTTCATTTGTCACCTTGAAAAAATAAAGACCAAATTAAAAAAAAAAAAAAAAAAAAAACAGCCTAGTCTTAGTTGTCTTGGAATTTACACCCTAAAGAGGGGTAGGATACAATTACATAGATGTGTAACTCTACCTACCAATTGTGCTAAATGCTATGACCTAAATTTCTTGTTTAATCTTGTATGAATCCTGAAAGGATGGGAAGGTGCCCATTCTTAATGAGGTCTGTGCCATCCCCAGTAGTTGGTGAAAGATCATTATGAGTCATGAACTTCAGAAAAGAGTAAGGAACCATCCAACGTGGCATCTGTTGGGCTAGAGTCACTAACTGCGAGATGCCACCTGGAGCATTCTGTTTAATGATGGCAAGGTTAGCCACTGTGACCACGTGAAGGGTAATATTCACCTGGAATAACCTTCACTATTTTCTCTGTTCATGGGGGTTAACTTTATTGGCCCTAGTAACAGGAATAACCACCTGGAGCCACAGACCAGGAGAACCTGTGAGGACGTCAGAACTCGTCTATTCTTCTTTTGCAGCCAGGAAAACGCAGACTCCAGAAGGGTAAGCAGTCTGCCCCAGCTCTCAAAACTATCTAATGCCAGAGTTAAAGCAAGAACTCAGATCTCCAAGTTTCTTATCTAGAAACTCTTCTCTACAATTATAGAAAAATATATAGCTTGGCCGGTTAGAGAAGCTGAAATTAAATTAAACAAATTAAACTAATTAACATAGTGTTGCCCAACAATAGAAAACTTTATTTTCTTTGTGCAATGATGAAAGAAAACATTAAAAAAATAATTAATTTTTCTATTTGAATTTTGCATTATTGTCTAAATTTAGTACCTGATAGCAGCTTAGGGATGATCAGTCTCTTCTTTATAAAATAAATAATTTAAATTTTATATTCATCAGTAATTATGTGAAAATCTAATGGTGATAACTTGTTACAATATTTCCAAGGAATGCCTATAAATACTGCAGTATATATGACTTGCACACATTCTCATCCTGTTTTAAATAATGGCTTTGCATTTACTGTGGATACTTATATTTTAATAGTTTTAATCATATGTAGAGAACATACTATTGTTTTCTTATGCTAATGAAACATTATATAAAGAAGTATATGCTAATGAAACATATAAAGAAGTATCTTCCCTCCAGAGGAACCTTGTAATTTAAGACAGCATGTGCATATCACTCACACACACACACACACACAGTCAGACCCCTGAATTCCCTGGAAGAAGAATGCTTGTTTTACCAAAACAAGAAAGCTCTTTTTTAAAATGTTCACACTGCTGCGCCAGGACTTGCATGTTAGTCATGTCTACCGTAGTCAGATCTACAACAGCATTTTGAAATCTTGCTAGGGTCCTGACACATGTACTTGTACTCTTCTAAAGGATTCCCTGCCACTCCAATAGAAGCTTACCACAAGTTCAGAGAACAAGGCTATTGTTACCACAGAGAGACTGTTGAAGGCTTCTTTTTTTTTTCCTGTAGTAAGGAAGCTTTGTAATAATTAGGTTAGAATATGATTTCTGATTCTGAGATCCGATTGGAAAATTCCAAGAAATACTCAGGATATCCCAAAGAACATTTAGGATTGTATTTAGGGTTGTATTGACCCTGTGATCATTGTCCACTCAGAACAGATTCTCAGTGATATGAAGGAAAATAGCACATCGATATGATGAGCATTAGACATGATATTAGGCCACATGATATCTATGAAATTTCCCTTTGGGAAGCAGGAAGTATCTATGATTCGGTAGATTAAACAGTAATTTTCAAATATATATTTTTGTGAATTTTACCATGTTCTCTTTGTCAATCAGCCAGAGGGAGGGTTAGCACTCAGATGTATGACCCCATGTCTGTGTTTTCTTCTATAATGCTCTGGAAGACTCTGGAAAGGTCAAGGAGCCCCCAAAGGATTATTGCTGGAAGATTGCATGACTTGAATTTGAACAGTTCTTCAAATCCAATACATATTTGACTGAAATATGCATATTTATTCTCTAGATTACTGAGGTAAGCATAGCAAGAACAGAAAAGGTGAGAAAAGAGTTATTCCTGCAAGTATGACAGTGAATCATGTGATTCAAAGCAGGGAAATGGAGTGTATTTGGTTGTTACTGTCCCGGATAGTTTAACTCAGGGCACTTGCTGTGGACTGGATTGTATCCCTCATAAATTCATAATTTGAAACACTAGCCCCCAGTGTGATGGTATTTGGAGATAGAACTTTTAGGAGGTAATTAAAGTTAAATGAGGTCATAAGGATAAGGGTCCTAATCCAGTAGGATTGGTGGCCTTACATGAAGAGAGAGGAAGATCTCTCTCTCTCCACATGCATGCACCCAGGAAAGACCCTGTGAGCACACAGTAAGAAGGCAGCTGTCTGCGAGCCAGGAAGAGAGGTCTCACCAGAACCTGACTGTGCTGGCACCATGATCTCAGACTTCCAGCACCCAGAACAGTAAGACAACAAATTGTTTCAGCCACTCAGTCTGTGGGGTTTTGTTGTGGCAGCCTGAGCTAAGACAACACCACAGGAGTGTACTGCGGAGATTGGAATGTTGAAGCAAAGCCTGCACCAGGCCCAGTGCAGGATCCCAAGACCAGAGTTAGAGCAGAGTTTAGGTAAGAGCAGGGATCGGAATAAAGGCAAGACTGAGACTGTGCATGGGGCAGAGTCATCCACTGAGGAGCATTGAAGCAGGATTTGGCATAATGAGCGAGAGCTTCTGCTTTGGACTTAACTAGGTTAACTTATTTTTCTCTACCTTCCATAAGTTGCAAGACTTTAAGCAAGTTACTTAACTACCTTATTCCAATTCTAGTACCTCACAATGGAGATGATAATGCTTTTATCACGTAGCCGTTGTGAGAATTAAATGATTAGTATTTAGCATAATGTTAGTGCAGGCTAACATCTTTATGAATTGGCAACTATGTGTAGTAGCCAAAGGCCAGAGAATTTGGGGTCTAAACTGGTCTACATTCGTTTGTTCATACTCCAAAGATTTACTGCATACGTACTATCTGCCAGGCAAGATCATAGGTGCCAGAAATAGAGCAGTGAGCAAAACAGGAAGAAAAAAAAAAAAAACCCTACCCTCATGGAGCTTATGTTCTAGATAGTTAATGAGTCTAATGACAAGAACCTGAACTTAGCAGGCTCCTGAGTCCCCAGCCATGTCCTACATACAAAAAGGTCTTGTTCTGGGCAACTCACACAGTTTGGGGAATGGCTAAATATATGTAAAAAGAGACAAAGGAAACATATGCTGCCAAATAGCTTGTCACAGGTATGATAAATATTGCTCATTTCTTTTTCAAAAATGCCCGAAGGACTCATATTGACAGGGCATCTTGTCACCCTTATTCTCTAAAAGCTTTTCTTCTCCTTCATCTCTCCCCTTTAAAAAGACAGGCTTTATATAAAGACAGCGTTCTTGTCCTAGAAAGAAGTATACCTTGATCTATCCATTGTCCCATAATGTTTCATTTGCTCTCCTGAATCTTGTTTCTGAAAAAATTTCAGCCTGGCAGGGAGGAAAGCAGATTTTTAAACAATTTGGGAAATTAAAGCTTCACAATGATACTTTCTGAAAGGGGCCCCTTTGTGTTCCCAGCTCCCCTTCTCAACATTTGTGGAAGTCTGTGTAAGACAGTTTTGGGAAACTCCTTAGTCTTGGGGTGTATGTGTGATCTCTTTTTTTATATTCATCTTTCCCTCTTGATTCAGAAGGCAAACTAAAATGTGGAGACCTTGGCCTCATAAATAATTGCAGAGTGGATTTTGTTTTGTTTGGTGGCCATTTACCATGTTATTTGTCGTGTTTTTCACTCTTTGTCATCCCTCTGCAGGGCTGATTGGAGAATGGATTTGGTTACAATTAATAAACCACTTCTCATATCTAAAAAACGCATTCTCCAAGACATTTCTCCACAATAACAGTGTAGTGAAATAGGTTGTTCTTTTGTTGCTTTGGAAGTGTGCCTTATTTTCCTTTATTATTTTGAGGCAACCTGAGTTCATGTATACACAATCCAAAATCAAAACAGCTAAGGGAAGCGCTGAGATAAGCTGCCCATCATTTTATGCCTAAATAAAAGAAAGGGAAAAGTAAGAGTAAGTGTTTTTGCGAAACGTCGATGAATACACAATCGTGGTCAATAAAGAACCACTAGAAACAATGCTGAAAACAAATTGGACTTAGTCCAAAACTCTTTCCATGTTTAAAAAAGTTTGGGAGGGCGCCTGGGTGGCTCAGTTGGTTAAGCGACTGCCTTCGGCTCAGGTCATGATCCTGGAGTCCCGGGATCGAGTCCCGCATCGGGCTCCCTGCTCAGCGGGGAGTCTGCTTCTCCCTCTCCCGCTCCCCCCTCTTGTGCTCTTTCTCTCTCTCACTCTCTCTCTCAAATAAATAAATAAAATCTTTAAAAAAATAAAAAAGTTTGGGATTTCTTTTCTTCTTCCCCTGTGAACGCATATGTGTACCAGTTTTGCCCACAATAGAAAAGTAAGGTTATTTCAGTAAGTCTCTTCTGTTTGGCTTATCACATGGATCATGGAAAGGTATGATTTTAGAGTTTGTTGCATTTAATGCACACTTATAAATTAATATTGCCGAATAAAGATAGCCCTTCAAATAGCAAATAAATTCTTACTAAGAGAAGCTCCTCTTTTATAACTAGAACACCTCTCACAGGACTAAGTCCTTTGTTAGTAAGATAAATTCTAGAAATGGATTTCGGAGTAAAGACCTCAGTATTTGTTTTTATTCTTGTAAAACCAATAAAGTGCTGACAAAGAGCACTATAATGTGTCACCATAGTTAGAAATAAGGCACATTTAAGAGTGTTCTTTATTGCCTTTTGAGGGTTGGATATTGCTGTCCTTACCTACACTGCCATTTTACAAAACAGCAGCAGGAAGGTTAGATTCATTTGAGCCCCACTTGAATATTATATACACTCTTTAAAAATGTCAAACCTTTAGGAATATTAAGGGATTATAATATACCATCCTTATGTTCCTGTAAGTTTAAGTCTGAAATAATGCTGAATCTAAAAGAGTAAAAGGGTATGTTTTTCCATTGCCCTTCATACCATATTATTTCCTATAAAAGAACAACTCCATGTCAAAAGACCTAGCCATTGCAAGTGTTATTTTTTTAGATAAGAAATGTAAACACTATTTTGATACATACTTGTTTCTTTATATCTGGATGTTAAAATGTATAATACCTCCCATTCAAACTACAGTAAATTTGCATTGCAAGTTCTGAGCACAGAAGGTGGGATGGGATAGGAAAATATAACATTCAAACCCTGGTGAAGGGCTTTCTTGGTTGAAAGGGAAATGCAGATGCGCACAGATGACTGGAACGAAAATGGGAAGGGAGTTTGTCACCAAATTGCGGAGCGGAAGGCTTAAGAGCAGGATTCTCAACTCTGGCTGCACTGTAGAATCACCTCGAAGCATACCAGTTCTTGAGAGCAACTAGCATGCAAGTTAAGACCTCAGAAAATAGTTGGTATGTCGAAATGAAAAATAGATGTATAACCCAGAGCCTTTCTCTGTGCTGTAAAAAAAAAAAAAGCCTGTACATATTCAACAATTATACCTTTCTTTGTTTTGGTGGGAGGCGGGGGTAAGGTGTAGATGTTTTGTCATTTACCCTGGGTGGGCCTTCAGGAAATGCTTTGTTGCCAGTCTGACTCCCATTTCTAGCCACAGCCCTATGGAGTTTACTTGATTGGTGAATGATGTCTATACCTGAGCGTAGGCGTGCATGGATATATAATGCTCTGTGTGAATGAAAAGCAAATTAGTTCTTTCAGATATGTTCTCTTGGTTCTGATTAAAGATAAAAATAAAAGCTGTAAGTTCCCACAAATGCTACAAGTGGCTTTTTCTTGCAATGTCCCCGTTTATATTTTCAGCAGTATCAGTTCAGCAGTATCTCTTGAAAAAGTCCTTCATTCAAGGACCACCTTGCAACCCCAGATCATTTATGGGTAATTTGGTAGATGATAGACATTTGAAATTACTGTGACAGGTGTTTTCACATTGTTTCTGCTGATCTGATAAAAAGCACATTGCCAGAAAAGAGTGTCGAGAACTTAAATTCCTCAGAATCAGTTTGAAGCGCCCATTTGAAATGAGAATTGCTATAAAGAAGCATTTTGGAAAGAGATGAAGGGGTGGGGGGAGTCCTTGAGATGAAAATACAGTTCAGGAAAACAAATGTAGCTCTTTGATGGGGACTATATGCACCGTGCTTTAATTTATTCATCATTGTTATTGTCCTTGAAATTGTTTGCTGCTACCATTCACATGATGGCCCCAGGAAGCGCCGAAGGGAGCCAGTGAAAACAACTCGATGGTGAACTATTACAATATATTGCAAAATAAGAAATAAGAATTTACTAAAGAGACAAAGAAATACTGAAGGCTGAAGGCTAAAAAATACAGGGAAAGACTCTTCTATATATGATGGCCCAGCGGTGCCAACGTTAATCTGTAAAACCAGTGGCACCCATGTTAAGTAATTTATATGGGAATAAAAATTGTTTTATATAACTTTTGCCGTAGAAGATAACATTCCATAAGCTCGTCGTATTTTTAATCTTGACTTAAGAGAAGTACTGCTGTGACAATTTTAAAAAATAAGAGTTCCACTTATCTCTTTGCAAGAGCTCCTTCTCTTCATTCTGTGTCCTTCCCCTCATACCCGCCCACCCACCCCCAACTCCATCCACCCCCCGCCCCTTAGCCAAAGGCATTTGTGAAATATGGAAGCACTTATGTCATGCTTTTATTTGGTTGGGGTATTCTTAATAAATGCCTCCTGTATTTCAGAGGTGGTTTGAGGAGGTCAGCTAATGCAATTTCACTTTGATTACTTATTTGAATTTTGGATGCAAAGAACCCTGAACCAATTCCCTGAATTTGTCATAATCATAATTTAGTTATCCATGGCTGCTTCATTAGATTTAAGGTCCTTTCAAGAGAATAT